CCGAACAGAATGGACAGAACGCATCGTGCATAACACTTGTGTTTTGCCTTGCTATTTAATTGCATCAGGTAGTGCTCAAAGTGCATTTGTCTGCGCCCGTGAATTTTGGCTAGAGCTTATCCGCCTTCGTGTTTCGTATCCATCAACCTGCCTGCGCCAGGACGTCTCACTAAGCTCTGTGCCGCATAATTCGGACCTCTCATGCTCCGAGCAGCACGCAGTGTGACTGCTGATCATGTTCGCATCTTACTGCAACAGCTCCTCTTTTTCCATCGGGTGAAGATCGCGGCCATGAGATTGCAGCTCCAGTTGGAAGAAACCATGGATGATGATGACCTAGATGACATAGGGTTTGACGGACAAGTGTTAAACAGCATTTTACGAGCCGCTCACCTTGAGCTGCGCAGCTTTATCACTCGCTGTGACCAAGCAATGATGACTACGGAACAACGTATCCTTCACACTCTGGTACGCTGAAGTACCCCAATTGCATAGAGCAGGCAGTGTCAACCCGGCCTCCACGCACAGAGAGTGCGACCATCGCACCATGGAACGGCCACTGCACTCCGAACGCTTCAGCAGCCAAGAGACGGCCATGCACAATCAGCAACTGAGGGAAAAAAAGCAAAAAAGAAAGAGCGCTGCGCATTTCTAGTGACCGGTGAAAGCAGAAAAGTTGACCTAGGCGGATTAAGCTTATGATCAACGGGTCCTCTACACGCTCCCCCTGCACTACTGCAGTTTGCTGGATACTTGAAGTCCAGTCCACAGAGAGTAGTCAGTGCCCGCACCACCCACCGCGCCTAATACATGAAATGCTCTCCTTACAGACTCCTCCCTACACCCCCGTAGGAACATCTCGGCTTAACAGTAATGCCAACCTCTGTTGTCCATAAGGCCGCTGCTGTTCCCAAGGGTACCTTGGGTAATAGGGTGGGCTCACATAAGTCTGGACGCTGTAGAACATTCCTTTCATATGCGATCTCGCTCAGCTGGCTTACCATAGGAACAATGCACCCCCTGGTAACAATATATAGTAGGCCATTTCAACAGGACGTATCTCGATAATTGCAGAGAACACTCCCCAGAGCTTTGTCCCTCTAGCGTAACCCTAGCCTAATGGGCACACGCCCACCCGGCCCTAGCCCCAGCAATAGGCATAAACTTGTGCACACACCTGCCCGCCCCATGCGTACAAACCACAACGCCCACAACACCCATTTTACCCCGAACACACTCACAGCTGATAGCTTTGCCCCCATACATCACCCCCCCCTGATTGATTCACTGTTGATACCACCTTGTTACCCTGTCACGCAACCCTCATCTGTAGTCGAACGTTGTCAGCAGCCTGTGGCTCAAATCTGTGTGGTGGATACCTGCACCTGCAAAGCCAGTGTTGCATAGGGTTCACCTCTTTTGCCTGGTCTGTTTTGCGCTAGTGCCGACGCGGGGTCCCCGTCGTTTGGCTACTTGGAACTCAATTACAACTGACGACACGCCCCGTGCACTGCGCAAGCACCGCAATTGTCAGAGTTAGTGCAAACACTGCAGGGTACCTGTTGCTGGTATGCCTAAACAGACACCGTACCCATCTGCCCCAATCGCAGTCGAAGATGCACGATTAAAAGACATATCGGTCGGGATGGACTGGAACATGCAAGATGCCAGTGATGTCCGTTTCCTTGCAGTTAGTGGCACACTCTGGGTTGGAGCTTGCCGAACAATGTATGACTTCACGCTGGTAGAATACCATTTGCACATTGACGAAGTATCATGGACAATTTTTTCCACTCTCAATCATGCCCTTGAACAAGAGTTCACGCCAGAGTTCTGCCATTATTACCGACACTTCCGTTTCATCTTTCTTATCGGCAACACAAGTTTCATAAGTTAACACAACAACATCGGTTTTTTGTTTCGTTACGAACGGTTACACGGAGAAACACGCAAATGCCAAACTGCCCAAACTTAGGACCGAGGTCTCGTCTCTTGTGTTCTGTTTTCTGATCCCAGTCTGTAGTCGGACGTTGTCAGCAGCCTGTGGCTCAAATCGTGTGGTGGATACCTGCACCTGCAAAGCCAGTGTTGCATAGGGTTCACCTCTTTTGCCTGGTCTGTTTTGCGCTAGTGCCGACGCGGGGTCCCCGTCGTTTGGCCACTTGGAACTCAATTACAACTGGCGGCACGCCCCGTGCACTACGCAAGCACCGCAACTGTCAGAGTTAGTGCAACCACTGCAGGGTACCTGTTGCTGGTATGCCTAAACAGACACCGTATCCATCTGGCCCAATAGCAATCGAAGATGCACGATTAAAAGACATATCGGTCGGGATGGACTGGAACATGCAAGATGCCAGTGATGTCCGCTTCCTTGCAGTTAGTGGCACACTCTGGGTTGGAGCTTGCCGAACAACGTACGACTTCACGTTGGTAGAATACCATTTGCACATTGACGAAGTATCATGGACAATTTTTTCCACTCTCAATAATGCCCTGTCTCATGAAACTTTTGTGGGGAATACCACAACATGGCACAGCCAAATAAATTACACTGGGTATAGCCTGTCTACCTGGTGACCTTCCAGATATAGTATATTTCAATATACTAATATCTTAAAAACTTATTAAAAACGTTCGGAAATTTCAAGCAGCCGAAACACATCACTCGGTCTTAATTATAGTTCTTTTTCACGCGTTGATTAATTGACTGTCAGGTTGTTGGGCCATTAGGCCAATGGGGAAGTGAGGCACCACGGACAGGCGCTTGCAAGAACACACACAAGTCAGGCAGACACACAGGTCTATGATTTAGCATTGGTGTGTTGGAGACACAGCTCCTTCCCCCCTTAGGGTTGGGAGGGTGGGTGTTTCAAAAACTTGGGTGCCAGGTTTGGCAAATGCTGCACATGACATTTATCATAAAAGGTTCCCAAGTTTGCAGGTTTCACAGAAACAAAGTTTCGAAGAACGCTTGTGATCAGTGAGGTTTTGTTTCGCTATATATACATGCACAATACATAAGACATGTAACGCCAGTGTGTGCGTAACATATGCAGTGGCAGGTTTAGGTGTTACTGCAAAAGGTTCACATGCACACTGTTGCAGAAACAAAACCGGTCATGGGTAAAACCATACAAGTTATAAAATCTATCGACCCAAACATACCCCCGCATAGAAGTCAATCTAGAGACAGACTTCTTACGAGATAAAATCCAGTGACCCAACGCACAGCGTTTGAGGCGCGGAGACATGTAGTAGTATAAGGAGGGTCGATATGCTTATGTTATAAGTCATCCAGGATCTGTGCGCATGCAACGCGTAACAGGCAAGTACACACGGGAGAGCACTCCCTACAGGACACAGGTCCAAAAAGATTTCATTTGAGACTGATATATCAAACGAGTTGAGTCTATCGTCTCATGAAACTTTTGTGGGGAATACCACAACATGGCACAGCCAAATAAATTACACTGGGTATAGCCTGTCTACCTGGTGACCTTCCAGATATAGTATATTTCAATATACTAATATCTTAAAAACTTATTAAAAACGTTCGGAAATTTCAAGCAGCCGAAACACATCACTCGGTCTTAATTATAGTTCTTTTTCACGCGTTGATTAATTGACTGTCAGGTTGTTGGGCCATTAGGCCAATGGGGAAGTGAGGCACCACGGACAGGCGCTTGCAAGAACACACACAAGTCAGGCAGACACACAGGTCTATGATTTAGCATCGGTGTGTTGGAGACACAGCTCCTTCCCCTTTGTTCCAAACCTCAGCCAATTTCCTCATCAACACGGGGTAGGACAACGTGCCCTCAAGGAATTGAAGGGTTGGACCGGTCAAGGCAAGTGGATCGCCAAGTTGTGCCCCGATTTCCAGGGCCGTGGATTTGGCTCTCTGGCGGCTTGGTCCATCGGCACAATTGCTCTTTGACGGTACTCTGGTGTACCAGACTAGAGTGGGATATCTAGTCTGCTCTAGGCAAATCAAAGACAGCAGTGCAAAAAGTTCTACTTGCTTGGATGCACCCTTGGCAGCGGCAGCTTTCACTGAAGAGTTGTCGAGGAAGACAATCACACGGCGATTGTGGAAAACATGGCCATAGTGCCACCACGCAACAAGTATTGGATACAGCTCGCATGCGGCAATGATCTGGCTCTTTCCAGTGGCCGCCCAGGTGTCCAAGACAGCCTGTGGAACGGGGGTCTCATGGACTCTGAACAAACCAGTCACTGGGTCACGGATGACTAAGCCGGCCCCTACATCAAACCCAGCCTCAGTGGGTTCACAAGCTCCGTCAGTGAATAGGAGAACTGGTCTAACAGTGTCTCGAACCGTCAGCACTCTGGGTGGTGCACACAACAAGGCAGTTGCAAGAAAGGCCGATACTTGGGCCAACTCTGAACGCATACTGGGGGCCCATCCTTGAAGTGACACCTTTTGAAAGAACCGCATGGCAGGCTGCAACACCCTGCCCAAGTATTGACCTTGGGCAAAATTAAGGATCCCGTGAACCTGAGCCGCTTCAGCTTGGGTAAGGCAGCCCTTCGTCACAAACGCATCCACCTGGGTTAGGATCTTCTCGATACGACCAGCTTTATTATTCAGTGCAAAGCTGCCATGGTTGCAGCATGACGAGTCCAGGCTTATGCCAAGCACATCAAAGGAAGATGCAAACTCCAAAGCCTTTTTGCCTTCTTTGGCAAACTTCCATCCAAGGCTGGTCAGGAGAAGTTCCTGGCAAGTGCATGCTGAAGCTGCAGTCTGCTCCGGCTCAACTGTTGGATAGTCATCATAGTAGGTGGTGCCTATTACCATGAACATTTTCTGAAACAACCACCACAAATTTTTGGACGCCCGATTAAAGAAGTACACGGAGGCCGTACAACCAAAGGGGAGTACCAGGCTAACAAAGAATTTGGGTTTATTTTCGATTGGGCAGTGCACAACGATGATGCGAGACCAGGGCTCAAGATCGCTAGTGGGCAGTTGCTTATATGCTGAAGGCTGAAGACAGGTCTAATGTGCGGCCAAGGAAGTTCACATCCGAACCCCAATCAGCGGCAACTCGGCCAACAACGTTGGATCCGTCACTCAACCTCATCGTAAACTCACCCCCTTGGACAAAGCATCTGCACATCTGCATGATCAAGGACACCAAGCAATCAACATCCTGAAGGACTAGTTTGTTGGTGGCATAGTACGCCGTATTGAGTTGGCTCTCCTTTGCATCATCTATCAATCGAACCTTGTCACCTTGGACCAGTGGGAACCTTTTGCTGCACAGCCATTCTGAACAGCCTGTGTGTGCTGACACGGCCTCTTCACTGTCAAACGGGCCTTCCATCCAACCATCTGTGACCTCAGACATTGTTTGCTCCCAGCACTCTCGGTCTACAACAGGATCCCCTGATGAACGGCATCGGCCCACCACTTGATGCCTCAGCCAAAGGTGCTGCTTCCTCAGCTGGTCGGCTGGCTTCTGGGCTGGTTGGAATCCAGCAGGGAACAAGCTTGAGTGCACTCCTAAGCCAGTTAAGGGACAACCCTGGGCTATTTCATCTACTATCCCTGCATCCGGGCAGTCAAACTTTAGCGATAAGTGCTTCCACAAGGCCATCCGTTTATTCCGAAGGATTTTCTGTGGGGTGGCTGGCAAAGCTTTTAAGTAGGCTGAGTTGTCAGCCTCCATAGATTTGACCAAGCACAACAACTCCTTAGCCCTCTCAGCCCTAAGCGCAATCAGTCCAGCTGGGCCTAGCTGGAGAACTTGTGACAACGTCAACACAAGCTCATCAGGCAAAGGGCATGAAAAATCAATCGGATGCATCAGGCTTTCGGCGCACACTACAAAGTTTTTGGGGGATCTAAAAAGACCAAAGACTATATCACCTGGTTCAGGCTTATTTTTGAAAGCTTTCATTGTGTGGGGTTGTTGCTGCAAGCTCTCGGATTCCCAGTCTACTTGGTCATACTTCAAATCACCCCCTTGTTCCAAGACAATTGGAAGTGGAATCTGTTTGGAGTCGCACATTGGCACCGGGCAATCGGTGATGGCAAAGAACTCAGAGATCAACTGGGGCAGCCTGAACTGTTCTGCTCGGACAACTTTGCGCGGGTTAGCGGCTGCAGTGAGGTCTGTTGGGAACGCAACACCACGTTCTAACAATGCAGGCCCCAGGCAAGTTGCGACAGCTCTTGCAAGTTCAGGCGTGTAGGCTGCCTCTTCTGCAGTTGGCATCTTCAAGACTTGGCCATTTGGCCCAATGTGCGGGGTCCAAGACTCATGCACGTGCGAATTGTCACACTCTTTGTTCATTGCATGGAAGACGGCAGGGGTTGACTTCCAAGTTGTGTGCTTTTTGCGTTTGGATCCAAACATGCAGTTCGCAAAGTTTACATCTTCAAGACTAGTCCACAATTTGCCATTTTCCAAGAGGGCTGCGATGAGGCAAGCGATGGCCCAAAAGTAGCTATTATTGGGGTTTTCAACTGACACAATGGTGTTACGAGAAATCAAGAGGATTGCTGCTACAACAGTGACTGCATAAAGGATATTGGCCGCCTGGACCCTGTCACGATCTTGGCCTACTAGTGAGTCCAAACCCAAAAGTTGGTCGTCAGACCTCAAAGGTGCAAGCGGCTTTCCCTTGTAGCCCGGTGGCATGGGTCGCTCACGGGCTTTACTGGCAGTGCCACAGACTGGCGCAAAATGCGCTGCGGCAACATTGGCATGCATGCACAAATTAAAGAAAACTTCCTGGTCGGATGCACGAGTGATGTCTAGGACCGTAATCTATGATCGATGGCTATACACTGCATGTTGAGGGACTTACGCACTTCGGCCGTTAATGTGGCCCTCCCGGCAAAAACTTCGAGAAAAATGAGCTCGGATGCTGGCAGAGAAAAGTCAATGGCTTTACACGGTGAACTTCCCTGCAAAAACTGCAAAATTGGCCCTACCAAAATGGCTTCAGGCTGTTCAGGCACGATGCCTAGTCACTGCTTCTTACTGGGGCAAGATGTGTAAGGGTGCGAGCCATGACATTTGGATGTCCAGCACACATGCATGCCACGACTGCAACGCGGCCCAGGATGTTGGCACTTGCCCCACTGATATGCAAAACATATGTTCCTGCCTTGATCATCTTTCGACACACAGTTGGCCGGCAAATCTGGTTTGGTTCCTTTGCCGCTTCCCTTTCCTTTGCCCTTGTTGCCCTTGCCTTTGGGCCGTCTAGGGCTACGGGATCTATCAGGCTTGGGCTTGTCGGCAGATCTGGGCTGGCTGCCCTGGGGTAGCGGCATGAGATGGTACAGGATCTCTGTGGACTCCGATAGCTTGGCAACAGCATCGTCGATGGGTTTGGGATTTGATGTCAAGATCTTGCCACGGGTCGTCCGAGACACCTGAATCCAAAGCTCACGATCTGCCTGGATGATTTGCTGCAAGCTGATTGGGCGATGGTTTGCCACAGGTTCCTTGGTAAGATAGTGGAACAGCTTGGCCGTGAACTTCTCCAAGGTCTTGTAAGTGGCTATATTGGCCAAATGGTAAGCCACTGCTCGCCTCTGCATGCATTGGCGTACTTTCCAATCCCCTGTCACCTCGGCCTTGACTTCGCGATCCTGTTTGCTGAGCTTGATCAATCCAGAGTTGTCTATTGAAACCTGAGTCTCTTTCTTTCGATGAGTGATCTCCGATTCCCTGCTGGTGCACAAGCTAAGCTCTATGTAGGATACGACCTGAGATTCTGCCTGTTGACAAGCCAAATCCACCAATTTGTGTGATGGTTCTGAAGAGTAATCCAAAATCAAATGGCAATGACTCTCCTTGAAGGCGTTGAGTCGCTCAATGCGCTCGGCCATGGGAAGGGCCTTTGGCGTGTCGTCAGGCTGACGCTCTAATCTGATGCGTATCTCCTGAACTGCAGTAGTGTGGCTTTCAAAGTAGAGCCTCCTAAGGATTGACCTTTCTCCAACTGTCAACTCACCTCCATGGGCATCTGCGTTGTAGATTTCTGACAAAACTTTCAACAGTGGGCCCTCGTCTGAACTGCCAGGTTGATACTGACATATAAAAGCATATTGCCCGAAGTTGCGCACCCCAGCACTCACAAGCAGCTCAAACCTATCTTCAGCTAGGCCGAGGTCCAGTGCTCTCGACCGGAACGCTGCACCGCTTTCAGTGGCCATGGTTCCCACGTCGACAGGTCAGGTTCTAAGATGAGGTCACAATGTCATGTCATCATGCAATAGTGGCTGCTTGGATTCCTGGGATGTTGCAATTTCATGTTAATGCAATTGGCTGAATATGTTTGAAAAAGATTGAAGGAGCTTGCCGTATCTGTCATGGTCATTCATCAGAAATGATATCGTTCTGCTGGAGCCGCATTCCTTCCGAATGCACAATCCACTCCATCCCTTCTGAGCACGGCTCAGAGACTACGGGATTTGTGTCATGTCCCATGAATGTGAGCACTGCTCAAAAATTGAAAGACAAAAATGCACATGTAGGTTCCAGAATTCTTTGCAATACATGAGCACAGCTCAGAACCTACAGAACATGCGACATGTCCACCGAATGTGAGCTCAGCTCAAAATGTTGACTGCAAAAACAATGACATGCAGGTTCAAATGACCTTCAACATGCTCCCAGTCACAGCTGGGCCTCCCAGAGCGCACTCTCACAGCAGTCTTTTTCACACCAGGGCAGTGTTTGCCCTTAAAAACCCAGATGCACGATCTACCAGGTCTAACGGTTCAGACCTAATGCCACATTGGCCAGGAAGGTGTCCAATTCTCCCAGCACCTCGTCTGCCTGGGCAGCGTCACTACGCTCAGGGATGCCGTAGGACACGTTGACCAACACCGTGCGGCACAATCCATTGACGCGCCGCATTTGGTCGCTGCTTGGAGCCCCAGCCAAAGTCCAGAACGCTCTAGCACCAGGCGGCACTGCGATCGACTCCGGCGTGATGTCCGTGACCTTCAGTATGTTCTGCAGCGACGGCAGGTCTTTCCCTTGCCTGTGGGATGTCAGGACCACCGTCAGGGACATCCACACGGTCGTCACCCACTCCGTGCTGAACCCGATGCCCAGGCAGAGCAAGACACTGCGTAGATGTTCACGCAGCATCTCCAGCTCACGGCACTTGACGCCACCAGGGAGCTCCAGCCGGATGTACGACCACCATGCGTGGCACAGCCAGTACATCATGATCTCGCCGATCGCCATCAGGGCACCGAAAGAAAGGTGACGGGTCAGGTGGCAATGGACGGCGGGTGTAAAGCGCTTTTGGACAGCTCAAAAAGGTTCTCGGTGAAATCACAGTATCAACTGAACCCCAAATAGTCTTGCCACGCACAAAATCTGTGAATGAAATCACATTGGGTCACGTTTTAATTTCATGTCATCCACTGCACAACATGCACTGAATAAACGACTCTGAGTCCGATGTTCCAACATGGGGCCTATCATGACATGATGCATGTCACCACAATTACCTACGCTGCTACAAGATAGAGAGTCCCTGCAACTGTATACCTGTCACCTGCAAACTTCATCCAACACAACGACCGATGCCACCCTAAAAGCAGTTGGAGTTGATGGCACGGCCACACTCAAACTTCAGTGGAACCTGTTCAATGTGCAAGGTTCCCGACAGGTGATGCTGCCAGTAGGTCAAGGTAGGATCCAACGGATTGTCAACTATGGCATGTTCCAAATTGTCGGCATCTTCAGCTATGTCCACACCATCTTGAACTTCGTCAAAATGATCAAAGTCGGAGTCTTCACCTTCCTGGGCATCTACATGTTCTTGCAGCAATGCATCGATTTCCCGATCAATGTGTCTGGCACGGCTCTCATCGGGGTCAAAGCGACCCATCTTCACCTTCTGAAGCAGGACGGCTTCCTTTTTCAGGACTGCCAAATGATTGTCTCGGCCATAAGTCAATGCAGAGCGGTGCTCTTTGTCCAGATGATGTCCTGCAATTCTGCGCTCCTCCAGGGTGAATTTCCCACTGATAGTAAACCATGCAAGGCGGGTGACTTTGAGGCAGTGCGTGGTTAATGACTCCACACAACGGCCCTGGCCAGCCAGCTTGAGAATGTCTCTGAGCCACAGTGTCCCCTCGGCTGAGGACATCTTCCTGGGCAACCACTGCAAGCTCTTCTCAGAGAAAGCAGGCAGGAGAAAAGCTCGTCCCTCAACTTGCCCAAAGGCTTCTTCCATCATCTCCAGCCAGCAGGCAGCCCAGGGCACTTCGGCAAACCACTTGCCCAAGCCTAGAAGAGGCAACAAGGTGGTCTTCTGCATTGCCGTTACCGAGGTCTTGTGTTGGTAGGTGCCGGCTGCAACCACGGTGGCATACTGGGCCTCGTCAATCTCAAATCCGGATGCTCCCATGCTGTCAGAGAATCGACTGCTCGTGGCCAAGCACCACATCAAATAGCCAGCAATTATATATCCCAAGGTGCGGCTCAGTGGGATCAATGACAAAATTCTCCAAGGCTTCAACTTCCTTCAAGTAGAGTGCCCTTGCTTGCAGTAGCGGCCTCTTTTTCAGCAGCAACTCATGCTCGACGCCTCTGACTCTAGGCGACAAGAAGTCCTTGTCAAAGTGTTTGATCCTGACATGTTCATGCATAAATGCAAGGGCAGCCAAAAAGCACTGTCCCGAAGTTGCAGCAGCATTCGAGGATCTCAAGAAGGCCAGGTATTCATACACCTTCTGCTCTGTAAAATGCCATGGATTGCATCTGCCAGATTGTTGATCCCACTTGCTGTAACGCCAAAAACAAGACACTCGCTTGTAAACAGTGCTGGCAGCCCTTTTCGAGAAGGTGTCCCTGAGAACTTGAATCACCGTTTCTTCTCCACCAACTTGCATGACCAACCCAGCAAGCACGTCTCCCAGGCCAGTTGCAGTGAGGTCCATGAGGAGTAGAAACTTGACCATTGCCAGAGATTTGAAAAGCATCTCATCATCTGTTTTCAGAGTGGCAGCAATTGCAATGCGTCTCATCGCACCAGGGTGTGTTGATGTTTGCTGAATATATTCAGGTTGTGAATCACTGCCAGAACGCTGCATGTAATCGCCAAAACCAACCCATGAAGGAACATCCAACAACGATGACTTCTTCGAACCCTGCTGTCCTAGCACCTCACCAGCAAAGTTGTGCTCCCAGGGCAGCTTGAGATGCCCATTGAGGTATCTCTTCCGGGCGCAAAGGACGTCCAGGTCATTCATGGCAGTGGCAACAGCTGTCTAAAGATAATGTTGGATGAAAGTTGGTAAGAAATGGTACAAAGCATAAGCCACGTAAACACACTACCCCCCTGATCTATTCAAAATTTAAGAGGTACCAACGTGTAAACCCAACACCCAATAAGAAACAGTGAAATCCCAGGCACAACGTGTTGAGATTCAGGGAATTAGATGTTACCTCCCTCTGCAGGGCTGTGTTGCCCTTTTGTGCCGCGCTGGCAGCCCGAAAGCGGGCCACCATCTGTTTCAAAAACTTGGGTGCCAGGTTTGGCAAATGCTGCACATGACATTTATCATAAAAGGTTCCCAAGTTTGCAGGTTTCACAGAAACAAAGTTTCGAAGAACGCTTGTGATCAGTGAGGTTTTGTTTCGCTATATATACATGCACAATACATAAGACATGTAACGCCAGTGTGTGCGTAACATATGCAGTGGCAGGTTTAGGTGTTACTGCAAAAGGTTCACATGCACACTGTTGCAGAAACAAAACCGGTCATGGGTAAACCCATACAAGTTATAAAATCTATCGACCCAAACATACCCCCGCATAGAAGTCAATCTAGAGACAGACTTCTTACGAGATAAAATCCAGTGACCCAACGCACAGCGTTTGAGGCGCGGAGACATGTAGTAGTATAAGGAGGGTCGATATGCTTATGTTATAAGTCATCCAGGATCTGTGCGCATGCAACGCGTAACAGGCAAGTACACACGGGAGAGCACTCCCTACAGGACACAGGTCCAAAAAGATTTCATTTGAGACTGATATATCAAACGAGTTGAGTCTATCTGAACAAGAGTTCACGCCAGAGTTCTGGGAAATGGTCAACCCTAGCAGGAAAGAACGGTGGGGATTCCTGGAGATACCCTGGGATGGGAAAGCCTATGAAGTCGCTACACCGTATACTCAAATACGGTTGTCCATTTTTAATGACTTCGCCCACACCATGCGGGTTGTGAGACCTTTCGTGTGGAATGATACCTACCTCAAGGTCCATCCGAATGGGGCAGCAGTTTTTGCGGAACAGAAGAAATTGGCCTTCTTGCTTCCTTTGATTATTGAAGCACATGCCCTACTCCCGCCTACCCCACTCTTTTGGACTAATGATGACCAGACCATCCCGTTGCTGAGGACAACCTTGTGGTTGCATGAGCGTACAATACAGTGGCTTTCTGAGACAGGAGAGGCGTACCCACCTGAATTACGAAATGAGATTCAGCCACGCCTTGACAAGCTCAAACCTTCCCAGCCCGCTAAGAAGTTGCAGCCGCCGCCGCCGCCGAAACCGACCAGATGGCAGGAACGACCCAAAGAAAAGCCAATCACGCAAGCACCTCAAGAACCTGCTCCGCAAGACCCAAAGGGAGCCCAGACATCTCCGCAACAGGTAGCCGATCATGAAAGGCAATACATGGAATTGCAAGCAGCTTTTGCCCGCATGAGACAACGAACGATTGCAGAGAGCCGACCAACAAACTCCACACAGCCCCAAGTACCAGCTAGACCGTCAGCCTCAAGCCCGCCTACCACAGGTGAAACAAACACTACCTTGCCACCTCAAACTGGTACAGATGCAGCGACAGAGGCGCCAGCTCAACAGGGCAGCCATCGGCCCCCTAAGATCAGTGCACAATCGCTGGCCGACCAGCGACCAGTGCCACCGTCACAGCCAGACACACACGAGCTACAGACGGATACCCCGGGTACCGGTGAGTTATCCACTCATTCCCCTCATCCTGCAGCACAAATTGGAGCCAAGCAACAGTCACCGCCGAGGCACGAACAACCGACTGTCAATAAGAAGGGTCCCGCAGAAAGAACTATGCCGGTCGACTCACCAACCGAATCATCAGACACGCTAGCAACAGACACCGTCGTTGTTAGCAGCCCTGAACCTGCCTGTGAACCCGTCCAGGAGGATGCCCTCTTTGCGGCGGATATCCCCACACTGCAGAATTGGCAGAGGGTAGCCAGTGAGAATGTGGAAGTACTCACCACGCGACTAGCTAGAGCCCGGGATAACCTGTGCCGTATCACGAAAAGCCTCAAGACAATGCAGGATGGCCAAGAAACAGATACTCCTCCGGCTTCCCCGATCGTAGACATCGAAATGGAACTAATGGATTGAGTGAACTGACAGCCAACCGGCACAGGGTATAAGGCTGACTGAGCTCATCCGGTTAGTGCCGGCTTAGGGTGTCGCCGCACTCCACAGTTGCGCCAAGAGAAAAGCAGTTGCGTGCAGGGTGCCACCCCCCAAATCTTTTAGGGCATGCAGGGGTGTACCATATTAACAATGACCCCCCTAAGGATAGCTCAAGGGTTTTTGATTTGCTTTGTCTCGTCAGGTCAACGTCCACTGTCTCTGTTTCTGTTCGTGTCATACGAATCCTGCTGCTGTCTGTGTTGGCTTCATTTTATTTACGGAATGCTCCCAACTGTCATAGCGTAACTCTGTTTTCACTGCAGCTTTTGCGGCTCTACCAGTTTTTTGCTAGTTCAGCCACAAGCAACACAATTCGCACCTCTCGGCGATAGATAGGCTTCAAAGAGTTGCCCCCCCATTTTTAATTTCCCTTGGACCGCCTTTGCCAACGAGGAACTCCGACGCCGGGTACCGGTTGTTCGGGGTTTCCCCCAGCTTAGCCGATCCACTGGCAACATTTGAGCCCTAACGCCTCGATAGCCTCTAACAGCACTAGCCATACAATAGAAGCCTGACACCGGGTACCGGTTGTTCAGGGTTAAGCCCGCGCCAGGATGATACAACAGCTTATGACTGAAAATCGTTTCATTTCCTTGGCGCCTGATGACCCTGACGACTCGGACACAGACATGGAGCCAATAGAGCCATGCATCACAGAAAGGCCCCATGATGATGTGTCAGCTGCCAGTGACGGCACGGTCTACTATGATGCTTGGGAGGCTGATGATGACACTCCTTACTTCCAACAAGGAGCTGAGCCCCCCCCACGAGAGGAGTGGGAAATTGCCGCGCCTATTGATTTCTCCGACTATCAGGGTACCCTGCAGATAAGTCACCAACTAGACGCACTCTTCCTCTCTGAGAAAGAGATTGAAACCCCGCTTGGCATGGATGACACTCAGCAGAATTGGAAGTGGGCAGACGTAGGCTCTCGTCGGATGCCTCGCTCACCCCTAACATACCCGACATTGATGGTAGACGATGAGAATGGCACCCGCCGACCCGCAGTCAGCCAGGTCCACCACAGGACTCTCTTTCAGTGGATTGTAGATAATCTATCATGGTTATCACAGTATGACACTGTCTATGTCTTTGTGGACAACCGTGCGCTATCAGGAACCAATCCTCCTGAGTACTGGCCGTATTTAGCACCATGGATCAAGGGCAGATGTGAAGTCATTGGACCTTACCAAGAGAAAACAACTGCTATCCATATTCCCATCAACGCTGACACAGGCTTGCATCAGGTCCATTACACTTGGGCCGGCGCTGCTGTCCTTGAAGCTCTGTGCCTAGTATACCCCACGGTAAACTTTGCACTTGCGGACTCCGACTGCGTGCCCACCTCGCTCTTTGAAATAGCTGAATTGGTAAACCTCATGACAGATAAGGCGAGCAGAGCCGAGGCAATGCAGCACCATACTATGGCCAGTTCCAGTCAATGCCCGCCGGCCGTCTTGCTCATGACCGAAGCTAAGGCGGAACTCAACGCTGGATTGATCATAGTTACAGGACATGCGCCAACCCATACAGGAGATGTCGACATGGACCAAGGAACCCCGGATGCCAACATGCCACCAGTTGAAGCCGCCTGCTCCGATGCGAGTGATGCGCACGCCCCCAAAGCAAGACGTATTGGCCATCCAGCCAACAGCAAATCTGCGGATGAATGGGTCACCGCGCTTTGTAACAGCAGAGCCAATTTCTTGGCAACCACAGCAGTACCAGAAGACCCTGCGGAAGCAATCAGGGGTGGACTGATTCTTACCCCCTTACTCGGATGTAAGGCCAAGACCCCACTAGACTGGACGCATGCCTGGGCAATGCTAGGGGAATGGGCCGGCATCATTGCCTTCCCTATCCCAGCGCAAGGAGAATGGCCGCGTCACGGAGACGGGCGGTACTTACGGCCAGACTTTATCCAGCGAACCCCGCCCTTCCTCACGTGGGCCCGTCCTATCTTCGAGCAGGGAGCACTTTCCCCCATGTCAGTGTTTCCAGCCCACTTCCCCATCCTCTGCCTCCCAGGAGACAAGCTATTTCAAAGCAAAGAGTTAGACGACGGGTACGGCCTTCCACCCGTAGTGCATGCCTTCCATGGGAGCAAGGTTGGCTTAGGACAGAAGCTCCAGCAGTGGCAAAGTCAAGGGCTGCAACCACTTGCCGTCTCACTCATAGGAGTTGACAAAGCACCACCATTGTGGACACATCCCACAGGCTGCGATTTTGTCAGAGGAAGCAAGCTGGTGGCAAAACCGCAAGTTGCACTACAGCGCAGCCTTACCAGAACGCAGGTACTGCTACTCCAAAGTCTCTGGACGCCAGTGGATGTCCCTCATCACAACAACAGCCACACACCCTGGCCCCAGACTTGCCAAACCGCCCACGTACTCTGCGGCCAACAAGCCAGCCTCCAACTGCCCACCGGCCAGATCCTCCCTCTCCTTGAGGCACTGCAAAAGCGGTTGGGGATCGACCCTAGCAACGCAGAGCTGGCCATCAATGAAGTCCTTGCTAGCCATGCTGACCCCCAATACAATGAGTGGAAGATCATTATCATGGATAACACTGCCTGGCAACTCAATCCCGCTGACACAGGGTCCCTGGATGTTCAGTGTACTGGATTGGGTGGCGGAGAATTAGACCAAGATTGGGAGGTACTTTTGGCTTGCAAAAAGGAAGCGCATGTCTACGGGCCGTCACTCAGCAAGCAGGATGATTGGAATGCAAGGGCTGGCACAGTTGCAGGTACCGCTCATACCCAAGAATACCTA